CACAAATGTAAATACCGAAAACACTAAAGCAAATTAAAAAAATACCATATTTAACGCGGTTCGGAAAATTAATGTCTACTTTCTTAGACCAAACCAAAATTACATTAATTGAAAAGATAATAAACATAATACAATTAGAAAAAGAGGATTGTATTGTGAGATTTGAACAATTGTGTGAAAGGTTTAATTTATGAAATGAATTCCTCCACCCATCCAATTTTCTATCAATGTGGGATGGGAGGTAGCCACCATACTTGACTTTCAATAAATCTTTATCTTGGTGACTTTCAAAACTCATCTAAAATATATTTCTCAAAACTCTCCCGTTATAGAGTTTGGCAGGACTTTCAAATGAAATTTTCAGTGCCAATTTCAAATTCGTAAAATATTTATCAAGTTCAAATAATGTTTGAACTTGATACTTGTTGTGGTCTTTGTCATATTTGTAGGATTCTCTGTGGTCTTAATCATTTGCTCTCTGACTCCAGCTCCTTTAACTATTTTCCGCATAAAATGGTACCGTACATCAATATGCTTTGTTCTAACATAATATACCTGATCATTTGCTAGGTGAATGACATTATAATTGTCACCGTAACATATTTTTGTCTAACTCCTAAGTCATCCAACAATCCCGGTAACCAAATTTCTTTTTTTAATAGCCGCAGTAATAACCATGTATTCTGCATCCGTTGTTGACAAAGAAATGGTTGATTGTAAGGTAAACTTCTAACTAACTGGTGAATTTATGAGAGTAAACACATAACCAATACTTGATCGTTGCTTATCCAGATTTCTTGCATAGTCTGAATCACAATACTCAACTATATGATCACCAGTATCATTATTCATTTGAAATATCAATCCAATATCTAAGAATTTCATGATATACTTTAGAATCCATTTACAACTTTCCAATGATACTTGTATGGATCATACATATACCTGCTCACAATTCCAACTGAATGTGAAATGTCAGACCTTATACAGACCATTGCATACATCAAACTACCCATCATACTTGAATAAGGAACCTTTTCGCACGTACTCTCACTCCTCTCTTGTTTCAGATACTGTGAAGCATTAAGATTGAAATGAGAAACAAGTAGTGTACTCATAGGTTTTGTTTTGTTCGTCATGCCAAATCATTGGAGTACATTATTCAAATATTGTTTTGGGGTTAAACACAAGGTGTCTCTCTTTCTATCTCTCATTATTTACATGCCGATAATCTTCTTTGGTTCACCGATATATTTCATTTCGAACTCCTCACTGAGCTGGGACTTTAACTTGCTTATCCTTTCTCTAATTTACGAAGCAATAAACATCTCATCTACATAGAGAAGAAGGTAAATAAAAAATCCATCATGTAGCTTACAAAAAGGTACACAACAATCAAAGCTACTCCTAGTGTACTTCAAGCCAGTCATAAATTGATTAAAAATCGCTTATATCACATCCTTGGAGATTATTTCAATCCATAAAGAGATCTGCTCAACCTGCAACCCACTATTATTTTCTAGCAACTTTGAATCCTTCAAGTTGGATCATATAGATTTCCTCCTCCAAATCATCGTATAAGAATACTGTCATTACCTCTATTTGAACTAGTTTCAAGTCATACTGTACTACCAAGGCTAATACTTGGATTTCTCTTCTGGTCCTCCTAACTACAATTGGTAAATCTTGTTGTTACTGAGGTTTTTGGATTAGGACCTCTATTACCTTAGACTCTTCTTTGGTAAATGAACCATCATCTTCAATTGATTGACCATCTACAAGTTTGGTCATAGATGCTTTGAACTCTAGTTGTTGAGGGGACCATTCATTTGCTGCTAGGTTATCTTATTTAAAATTTTTGATTTGTTGAAGATAACATCCCTGCTAAAGATTATTATTTTTATTAATTAATTAATTAATTAATTAATTAATTAATTAATCTCCAGGCACCATAAGTGATATCCTTTTACGCCATATGATATCCCTATAAAGATAGTTTTCCTTGCCCTTGGATCTACCTTCAATTCGTTCGTGTGATAGTATGGAGCGGACCAAACACACGTAAAGAATCATAATAATTTGCAAATTTTTCAAATCACACCTCTAACGGTGTTTACCTTTAAGTGCAGCTGATGGTAGTCGATTGATTGAAGGCTTACATATGTAAAAACTTCAGTGTATAATTGTTTGTCCAAATTAACATTGGATAACATACATCGAACTTTTTCCAGTAATGTCCGGTTCATGCATTCAACCATCTCATTTTACTATGGTGTGTCCCGCACTGTGAAATGTTGAAAAATCCTCTCCTTCTTGCAAATATGAAAAATTTTATTTCGATATTCCATGCCATTGTTAGATCAAAGAACCTTAATCTTCTTCCAGTCTGGTTCTCCATTATTTTCTTCCAAATGAAGATTTTTTGAATGCTTCGTCTAGTTTGCATGGGATACACTCATACTCTATTGAAAAAATAATCAAAAAATTATAGGAAGTAATGTTTTCCTTCTAGAGAAGCCGTTTTGATTGGTCTCCACATATCTGAGTGAATATAATTCATAATGCCTTTCGTATTATGGATTGACGTGCCAAACTTTACTCACGCCTCATTTTTAAAAGTACATTGCTCGCAAAAGTCAAGTTTGCAAGTCTTTGCACCATTTAACAATTCTTGTTTTGCCATACTTCATGTGCCATAGTTTGATCATCTCTTTTTCTTTGTCTTCTTTTGATCCTGTAGGTGCTATGCCAATTACCATGTTGCCCTGAAAGTGATATATAAATTATTTTTCATTATACCTCTCATGACGACAATTGCTCTTGAGACCATTTATAGAATTCTATTTTGAATGTTGATGGAGTGGACTTTGGATTCCAAAACTCCCAATAATATGAGATTTTTTTTTTCAAATTTTGATATATACGAAACCTTCGTTAGCATCTTGGTTTTTTCATCGTGGCTTTTCAGACATATTGAGCCAATTCTAGCTATTTGCAAGGTTGATTTTCGGCAAGTTAAACAATTCCACCATAAAAAATTTCAAAGTTAACAAACCTATTCTTCTTGGAACACATGTGGAATGACTATTCTGAGTCCAATAACCAATCGTCAATGCAAGTTACCAGTGAAGTACAAGCTAATAAATAATTTGTCTCATCATTATCAGTAACACATGCTTCAGTTACCGTTTTCCTCTTTTTATTTTGCAGCTTGGCACAATATTTTTTCAATGTCCTTTCTCGTGATAACAAACACATTAATCTTTTGCTACTATACCTTTTGATTTGGAATCATTTATTCTCTTTGGCTTATATATCTTGCTACGACCACGTTGTAAGCTTCTTCAGTGGAACTCATGTGTTATAACTTATTTTTCTTCCCGATCTCCTTAAAATACAAAGCATTAGTGACTTTCTGAAATAAATTATTTTGGAGACGACATAGTAATCTCAGAGTTTGAGGTGTGAACTAAGGTCGATCTACGGCTAAAAGCAAGAGTGCTTTGAAGTGACGGGCAACCCCATAAAGGACCAAGGAACACCACTCCTCATAAAAACTATCGGATTTTCATGATGAATTCAATTCATCTGACATTTTTTAGGGGCATCTGTTATCCTTACCTCGAAACGCTTTGGATCGTTGAGGCCTTATATGACAAAGCCCGAGTAAAGTCCAGCCACATCGAGCGAGGTCCAACTGCATCGAGCAAGGTCCAAATGTGTCGAACAAGGTCCAAAAGCGTCAAACGAAGTTCAACGGCATCAAGCAAAGACCACATGCATTAAGTATAAGTCCAGTAACATCGACAATAGGCCAATACATTGAAGAAAATACTTTATACATTATAGCCCACGAGTTAGAGATTGTGACCTCAATGGCGAGCTCAAAATTGATATCCTTCGAACCCAACATAATTGAGAAATAGGATTGTTAGAGAGAATTGAAATTGCTTCTCCATATTTTTATCCAATGATAATTTGGATAAATCATAATTGAGATAAGATTCATCAATTGAGCAAAAAAAAGAAATAGACATTTGGTATCAATTAGATATTGGCCAAAATAAGTAAGAACAGGACTGCCATTCATTCTAAAATTTATGCATTTTTATTTATTATTATTTCTTGTTTTTTTTAATTATTTTTAATTCAAATTCAATAATTTTATTTTGATTTATATATTTTTTTTTCTGCAATTTTACTCATTCCGATACCTTCAAATTATCGCTAGATCAAACGCCAATGTTTTCTTAAATAGGCTAAGAAACCCATCGACTTTTCGATCGGCCTAACCCAATCGGCCAACGAAGTTAATTTTTCAAGCTACAACAATGATAAATATATTTTTTGAAAATTAATGTAGTTTAATATTTTTGTTAAATTTTTGAATTTTTTTTATAGATATGTAAAGTGTAAGTACTCCATATATATTTGGAGTATAAAATCTAAGAAATTATATAAATTAATAAAATATTTAATCTGAAAATCTATAAATTCTAATTAAATTTATGTAAATAATAAATAATTCAATCAAATTAATCAAAATTTATATAAAAAATAAATAAAATAAATCAAAACTTTGCATAAATTTTATAGAATTTTTAAATTTACTTAAATCAACAAATTTGTTAAAATCGAACCAAATTCACTACTTATAATTTTACTATCTGTAATTTAGCAAATAATAATTAATTAATTATTATTGTTTTTATTTAATCTATCAACCTTTTATCAAATTCTAATAATAAAATTTCAAATATATATATATATATATATTTCATCCTCTATACTTTACCTTGCAAATTTGGAAGAGTTTCCGCTTTATTTATACTAATGCATTTTTATTCCTTTAATACTATTTATTTTTTAAAAAATATATAATCAAATATATTTTTTATACACAAAATGTCAAATTAAATACTAATTTTTTTTTTCCAAAATTCTAAAATCTTCCAAAAGTATCTGTGTAAACAAAACAAGTAGTACATGGATAATAATAGAGGAATTTTTTATCTACAAGCTCACTCACCATAAACTTTGTTGACTTTCCAGCGCCGGAGAAGCCATTCTTCACTGCCGTACCCAAACTCAATTTTCGCTTTTCCGGCGAGTGTATGGCGTCGATTCGAAATCGATGGGGCGTAATCGCACTGGTGATAATCCTCGCCGTCGAACCGATTTCGTCCTCCCTCTCTCCAATCATTCAAATCAAGCCGGGAAAGAAGTACCGTCTCTTCGGCGATGGAGGCCGGAGAGGCCCCGATTTATACTGCGAGAGTTGGTGGTTCACAGTGGAGACAAATGACGCCGGCAGCTGGACCCAGGTTCCGGAGAGATGCGTAGATTTCGTTAAGGAATACGTCACCGGTCCGCGGTACTTGTCGGATTCGGACGCCGTCGCAGAGAATGCGGTGGCGTACGCCAGGGAGGTTGAGGTTTCTGGAAGGGAGAAGGATGCTTGGGTTTTCGACGTCGACGAGACATTGCTTTCCAATGTTCCGTATTACGCCGCGCACGGATATGGGTAATGAGCATTTTGGGAATAATTTATCCTACTGATTTGTTGCGTTGGTATTTGGGATATGCTAAATTAGGATTTGTGTAGTTGATGGTTTTGAATTAGGGTTTATTCAGTTCAATGATTGACTTATTGCTGGTTTTGGATAAGAAGTGCTGTGATTGGGTTGCAAATATCCTTTGCGTATAAAGATGTGAAGTGAAGTATTATTGTAATCTTAGAGTGAAATTAACTCACATCAGCTTGAAACCTTAAGGATCAAAGTTATGTCGATAAGAGATAATATATGTCGAAAACTTACTTTGTGTACTTATTCATTTGTTGCAGCCATCAACTTACTTAGTTTCTCAATAAGCATAGAATTTGAATGTTGATTAGGGAGATGAGTGGAAATTTTGGTAAGGAAAGAATGATCTTGAGAGTTGATCTAGTGATGAATATCGAAGACCTTTGTTGTGTTTTCTAAGCACAATACACACATTGAGCATCGAAAGTCCAATCTCACGTGAGCTGATGTGCACTTGTCGACTGCTAGAAGGCTTGAATTTGAAATTCCAGTTAGTGATAATTTTGTGTATCCATGCTCTTATACGGATGTCTTCGAAACTCATACCCACATAGATGGGATTTCTGATATATGGAGTGAACGTTTTCTGTAATGCTGTTTTATTTCTAGGAGGAGATTAGTAGTCCTTACAGATATGGATGATATACAATTTTTTTTAGGTTCGATTGAAGACTATAATAGCATGGATAGTTAATACAGATAATATTGTACTTTTAGTGAAGTTAATACACATTCCAAAGTATTTCTTCTATGCATTGCTTGAGTCATTGTTGGGATCATTTCATTTAGTTATTGATAGATAGTATTGTTTGGGAAAATTAGTACTCTTCGTCTCACAGGATCATTTAGTTTCAATCTTCTTATTTGATTAGATTTTTAAATTTAGATTCCGTGCTTGATTCGAAGTTAAGATTGCACCTATTTAAGTCTCATATCTTTTTTCACCGTTAAAATAATGGAATGCTAGCAGTGCAAGACATGCTACTTGAGGCTGAGAGAAATTATTAGTACCTCAAAGAAGGAAGTGTTACTTAAATCGATGCGATTTGAACTCAAACAGAAATTTCGTACAATCTGTGGACCAAAATTGAAAATCATGATCTGATATTACTCAGTTTGAAATGAAGCCTTTTTGTGGGACTAAAGATACTGTTTAGCCATATGTTTGATCAATATATCTGCCGAAATGGTTGAAGTTTTGTGCCTACACTTTTGATAATCGTTCTCTGTTCTATAGTTTTATCTCATTTGTCAAAAACTTAGGGTCAAAATACGATACTAAATTATGAAACAGTATCGGGGCAATGCAGAAATCTTGAAACTTCATAATTTGAGAGAGGCGGTAATAAAATAGAATAGCAAAATAATCTGATGCTCATTCTCAAAGATTTTACCGAGCAATGCTTATTTAGCCATTAATTCTTTATGGCACTCTGTATTTCTTCAACAAATTCTGTAATTTCTGCTTAGGTTGTTACCATTGGGGTGCTGTGAAATACTTGCAAATACTGTTCAAGATCAACAAATGTTCTTATTTCGGCTTCAAACTTTCTTTCCTTGTTATGCCGACTACGCAGATCAGAGCTTTTTGATGAACCTAGTTTCGACAAATGGGTCGACTTGGCCATTGCTCCAGCATTACCTGCAAGTTTGAGATTGTACCGAGAGCTTCAAGAGCTCGGATTCACCATATTCTTGTTGACCGGTAGGTCTGAGTTCCAAAGGAACTCCACAGAACTTAATCTAAGGAACGCCGGATTCAACAACTGGAAACAGCTCATACTGAGGTAAGCTCATATTTACCAAAATCATATATAGAAAATGTTAGGGTGTTTGTTTGTGGGTTTTAGTTTTTGGGTTTGGTTTGAATAGTAAAAAGTTGAATTTGAATAGTTGTTTGATGTAATATAAATAGAGGTTAACGTGATGTTTTGAATTTATTTAAATTTGTAGTATAATATAAAAAAAAAAAAAAAGTAATTGTTTGATTTGATATTTTTGGAGGAAAAAAAGAATCTGCATAGTAAAAATTGTGGTAAAAATCCACAAAAGAACACAACTTAGAATTCGAATTAGTTAACTTCTCTTTCTATTTTAAAGAAATGTTAGAACTTGATACGCGCCTTTTTTTCTTTTCGTCCCTTCATCAAGTTAGTTCTTAACAGTAAACCATTGTATGGTTTAGTACCATTGTGTATGTTTATAGGTTTGGATTTTTAAATAGTAAAAAGTTGAATTTGAATAGTTGTTTGATGCGATATAAATAGACGTTGATACGATACTTTGAATGTAAAATAAATTTGTAATATAATATAAAAAAAAAAGTAATTATCTGATTTGATATTTTTGATAGAAAAAAGGAATCTGAATAGTAAAAATATGCGATAAAATTTACAAAAGAACACAACCTACATTCTCTTAGCCAATGCCTATTACTTCAACTACATTTTGGGTGATTTAAATGAATGAAACAGGGGAGATGAAGATCAAGGGAAGCCGGCCCCGGAATACAAATCCGAGAAGAGAAAGGAGATAGAACAAAAAGAATATGTTATTCGTGGGAATTCGGGGGATCAATGGAGCGATTTGAGGGGATTCGCCGTGGCTAGGCGATCTTTCAAGCTGCCTAACCCCATGTATTTCATTCCCTAGTTGGATTCTACAAAAAAGTCCCACAGTTGGTTAGTTTCATGTTCGAGGCATGATCGCGAGCCCGGTAACTTTTTTAAAGATTTTATTTATTTAATTTAGAAATTTTCATGGCTCAACTTGGGATGCATATTCTTGTTTAGGCCATGGAGTTGCTTTCTATTTATGTTTTTGAGGCTTTATTGCAAATTCGCAATGGGAGCCTAACTATTGGATAATGTTATGTTTAGATACAATACTATGATTTAAGGATGAAGATACTTTAAATTTTATCATACACCTATTGTAATTTAAGCATATTTAATTAAGGCAATGACGATAGATAATTATTAGATCATTTCTGTAATTAATTTAGATGAAATTAAATAGGAAACATTCCATAATTTGGGTTCTTTTTATTTATTATTTTTTTGTTTTAAATAGTGGTCCCCTTGAAACTTAACTATTTTGACATTTTAGTGGTTCAAATATAAAATATACTGCAAAGAAGGATCCATTTATTTTTTTCATGGAATTTTAGAAATATTAGTATTATATTGGGATATAGTAGGAATAAAGTAGAAATGACTAAAATAACCTTATATGTGATATAAAGGTAATGACATTTGTTGCAAGGGTATTTGTAATGTTAGGTAGATAATATATTTACTAAAAAAAATGGATACTTTGTTATGAGACGGACTAAAATGGAAAAATAATAGATATTTTGTTATGGGAAGAAGGGAGTATATGATTTTGCTAATAAGTGTGGATCACATTAATATTATAAATGTCCTCAAATATATTTTTATTTATATAAATATAATTATTCAAAGAAAAATATAAGGACACAATAGTTTTTATATATATATAAAATATTATATGGTACTGTTAAAATATAATATTCATTTAATTTTATATCATAAAGTAAATAGTCACTTTTTTTTGAACGGACAAAGGAAATATGCATGTGTATATAAGAATAGTAAAGATTGCATGACATAAATAAATAAATAAATAAATTAAGAGGACGAATCTTTGTGCACGTATTTATTAAGTAGGCTACTAATTTTGATGAGTGATCAAGTTTGCTAAACAAATATCATATAAAATAATTTCAAATAAGTTTTTTGCTAGATATATATACATTTAACAATAAATAAATAAATAAAATATAGAGACAATTGAAAGATATTTAATTAAAATCGCTAGTTTTTCAACAATATATTTTAATTTTTTTAAAACCATTAGACAAGATGAAAATTTCCTAAGTACAATATGTAAAATTTAAATCTTCCCTACATGATCATTTCTAAAAAATAATGTCGATTGTGACATACATTCAATTATTTCAAAATATCTTACTGAAATATTTTCTGAATGATCTATTTCTCAAATTGAAAGTGATAGTAACAATTTTATGTAACATCTTATATAATTTTTAATAACATGATTGAAATTGGATGTGATAATAACAGTAATTATAAATCAACAATATAAATTTTTTAGTAGTATATTTTTATTGAGAAAAAAAAAAAAAAATCTCAGCAATGTCTATTTTTCTACTCAACAAGAAAGTACGATATTGTCCCGTAAGGGATGACCTAGTGGTGTAGGGGTTGGACTTGTAATCGTGAGGTCATATGTTCAAGTTTGCAGGGAATTTTCGTAAACCACATATAGGTTTTATATTGTTCTTCCTATTTTAGCTAATTACACAACTTGAAATAGAGCTAAGCATTTTGCAAAATATACTTGTTTATTTTTAGCGCAAATTTTAATAAAATAATATTATTGATGTAAATAAATATAAATTTGAAAGTATTTATATATATAATCTAGTCTATACATATTAAAATGAGAAAAAAATACTTTATGGATGAACTCTCCAAAATTAAAATAGGATACCTTAACATTAAACAAAAAAATTATTTCTAAAACTTCGAAATATATTCAAATATAATTTATTCATTATATGTTCAATGACTCAAAGCCCAATTGGCTTTTTTTTTTTTTTTTTTTGTTTTTTTGTTTTTTTCGATTGATCAATCCGTTACGAGCATTACATGTAAAAGACGAAAAAATGCACAATAATTTAATTCTAATCATTGTGAAATGCAAGTGAGAGTAGACTAGGTCGGCACAAAACTCTTAATAATACTTGTCAACGACTTGAAAGTTTAATCGATTAAGATTTAAAAAGATTATAATCTTATCAAAGTAAGAGAACTATCACAAATATTCCGCCACTTGAATCCAAATACATTGTAGTCGTAGAAATTTTAAATCTAAGTAATAAACAATAAGTTAAAAACCTCCCATTTTGTTATAAATTAAAAAAATTATCTATGGAAAAAATAATAATGGGATTTCTAAAACCATTTACAAATGGCATATAGGGCTTAAGAAATTTTTGAATTGTTTTGATAAAAGTTCAAAAATAGTAAAATTTTAAATTAAAATAAATTTTTAATATGATACAAATAAATGCTTGATGTAAATATTTTAAATAAAACATAAACGTTCGGTTTGATAATTTTTCGAGAGAGAAATATAAATTATATTAATGTGACACTTTTTTTAAAAACTTTATCTAAACAAGTTAAGTTCCCGATGCTTTTTTCACATAAATATATATATATAGTTGTCTAAAAAATTATCAAGTTCGTGATTCGAATCCATTTCAAGGCTGTTTCAAACTTTTTATTATTATTTTTAGTATTTTAGCAAAATAATATATTAACATTATTATAGAAAATTTTAATTAAGATATTGGATTACAAGCCTAAGAATCACTAATAAACTACACCTAATAATAATAAAAAAATGGTAAATGAAGAAGAAAACGTTAGTGTTAGATGAACCTAACTATGAATTGGGGCATCAAAGTCATATTCATACATTAATCTCAATTTCATTTAATTTAATTTGGATTTGGATGAACTAAATGAAAGCTAACGTTGCACCTTACTACATTATCCACCGATCTAATTAATTTTTGTATATTATTTATTATTTGAAATAGTAAACATATAATTATTTGACGTAATATAAACAAATATTTAATATGATAGATTTTGGGCGACAAATAAATATTCATTTACTTGCTTGTGTGTTGAAGGATCTTTTGGTACTATATATACAAATTACAATAACACTAGTGTTTTTTTTTTTTTTTTTCATAAAAAGTTACATCAAGATTGTGGAAGTTTTACTACCATAATTTTTATAGTTTCTTATAAAAATATAGTATTATTTATTAAAAAATAAAAAATTCAAATTATTATTCAAATCAAAATCTAATATCAAATTTCAAAACCAAACTTCAAGAGAATACTCATTCTAAATTTGTTTTTTCCGATTTTATCAATTTCATATAAAAATACATTATTTTTAGATCCAATAATTATTTAACCAAAACAAAAAAAAAAAAAAAAACAAACAAACACAAATACAAACCAAACAAACCCTAATGCTTTTTTCTTCTCTTTTTTTTTTTTTTTTCTTTAAATACATTAGCACCCAAAAATGTTAAAAAACACAAAATATATATTCCCTCCGCCCACTCTAAAAATACATACTCTCCCCGTTTCATAACAAAATATCAATTTTTTTAATTTATTCGTCCCGTAACAAAGTATCTGTACTATTTACCTAACATTACAAATACCTTTATAACTTACAATATATTACACAAATGTCATTACATTTATGTCACACATAATAATAAGGTTATTTTAGTCATTTCTACTTTATTCCTACTATATCTCAATATAATACTAATATTTTCAAAACTACGTGCAAAAAACAAATATATATCTAATTATGAAACGGATGAAGTATTTTGTTATTTTTTATTGTTAATTATCAATTTCTCTTTTTAATAAAGTATGGACTCCGCTTTACCTCACAAAATATTATTTACATACAAAAACATCGTTAATTATCATTAAAATATAATATATATATATATATTATATATTTATAATTTTGCCCAAAATATCTTATAGACGAAATTAGTATATATTTTGGGTAACGAGGTGGCAATAATACCAAAAAGATAGAAAACACAAAAAGTTGGGATGGGACTTTTTGGGGCAATAATGAGGTGATGTGCATGCTTAATAATTACCATATATTGACACAAATTATAAATATATATATATATACTTCATTGAGATTATTATAAAATTAAATGCATTCAATGCTAATAAAATATTATCATTCTTATTGAATTAGAGTGTATATATATATATATATATATATGATGAAGTCGTACATACAAAATTATGAAATACTTTAATTGTAGTGTAAATATATTGAATCATACAAGAAATGTAATAATGAGTTTGTTACTTAGTATTTTTAAGTCGAACAATTTTTCATAAATATTATTATAACAATAATATAAATACATATTAACACAATATATTATTCACTCACAAAAACTCAATAATTAAATATAAAATATTATTTTTAATATTAGTGTACCATTCTTCCTACCACTACTAGAAAAATAATATATTTGTAACGGAATTTCGTCTCTAAAGTTCACGTAGCTAACGTAATTTCATTCCTAATTCCATCTCTAATGTCATTAGTAATGGAAAAAGTTGATTTAGCGACAAAAAAATTTTGTTACAAAAATAATTTTTTCTTGTAGTATACCTAATATAAAAAATTATTTACATCTAAAAAATAAAAAGTGAACAAATCCATTGAATTTTAGAGTTTATTTTTATTTTTCTACTATTAAATGTATTATATCCAACTATTATTCTAACTTAACAATATATAACAAGGAGTAATATAAAAATATAAAAGAACACACACATTTATTTTATTAGCTTAATTGTTTACTATGAACATAATTAATTATTATTGTTTTATAAAGATTATAATATAAATTCTAATTAATCATGTATCATAAACAAATCAAATATTTACACACAACACACATATCCTTCTTAGTTAGGATATACTTTTGTACACATACACACACATATATATATATAACTATATATACATTTACGCGCGACATAATCGATACTAAATTATTAGTGTTTTGATGATTTTGCGACATTTTTTGTCATTAAAATTTGGTTGCTATTATTAGGAAGATATTGACATTAATTACATGCAAAATTTCTTATCGAATTTCATATTTTTTTTGGTAGGTAACTTTCAGTATTCCTAATAAAAATATATTAATTTCTCTCATAAAATAACGCACACATTAAAACTGCATGACCAAAAAAAGTTTTTTATTTTTGTTTTTGTTTGTCTTTTTTAAATCATTTATTTTATTTTATCATGTTGCATTATATATTTTTAAAATTTCTCTTTTATTATAT